TTTTTTAAGCATTAATTATGTAGCATTATTGCGAGATTACACATTCTAAGTATTAAAGAACGGATTTATTTTTAGAAATTCCAAAAGTCATTTGTTTTAGAATACTTCCACGATTTTTTTTTTCAACCTAAATTCTGTATTATTGTCCTTGTTATATCAAATATTATTGTATTAATTGTTTTTAAGGTAGAATTCTTAACTCTGCTAACCCCTACCCCATTCGCACTGACGTCTAACACGAAACGGATGACGCGAAAATGGCCAGAAAAACAATTTATGTATGGAGCCAACAAATATGTTTATATTAATATAAAATCATATAATATTTTATTAAAACTTACCCTCTAAAATGATCTAATATCACATATTTAATCAGTAATTAGTAGTAGTAAAAATATTCCATATTTGATTAGTGGTCATAATTGACCAAATTAATTATTCCAATTAATTATTATTTTTATCAAGGTTTTTGATTAAGATGAAAAATTAGTGTTACGAGAAAGATTCGAACCCACGACCTTCAGCTAAATACGCCGCTGCTCTAACCACTTGAGCTATCGTGACTTCGATCCCCTCGAACACCAATTCCGAGTGGATCGAAGTCACGATAGCTCAAGTGGTTAGAGCGGCGGCGTATTAGCTGAAGGTCTTGGGTTCGAATCCGCTCGTAACACTAATTTTTCATCTCATCCAAAAACCTTAGTTAAAAAGACTAATTTAATTGTAGTAAAAATATTATTATGAAATATAAGGTAAAACGTTGGTTCTAGGCACAATATAATATTTTATTAAATTCACTAGTTTTCGTGGTCCGCTTGACTAATTGATATCTTTCAATTAATTAAGGTTTATAGTTGAGATAAAAAAGTCAGTGTCACGAGCGGGATTCGAACCCACGATCTTCCGCTAGATACGCCGCTGCTCTACCACTTGAGCTATCGTGACCTCGATCCACTCGGACACTAACTTCCCATCTCAACCCCACGTTTTGAATTTTCCTCCTTTTTGCCATTTTTCAAAATTCAAAAGGTGGAGCTGGGATGGGAAGTTAGTATCAGAGTGGATCGAGATTACGATAGCTCAAGTGGTAGAGCAGCGGCGTATCTAGCCGAAGATCGTGGGTTCGAACCCCGTTCGTGACCTGACTTTTTTATCTCAACTAAAAACCTTAATTAATTGAAAGATAATATTTTATGATTTTTCTCAAGTGGTGAGAGCAGCGGCGTATTAGCTTAAGGTCGTGCGTTCAAATCCCGCTCGTGACACTAATTTTTCATCTCAACCAAAAACCTTCGATAAAAAGAATAAATTAATTGGAGTAAAAATATTATTATGAAATATAAGGCAAAAATATTTGTTCTAGGCACAATATAATGTTTTATGAATTTTTCAAATAAGATTTTAAATATTCACTTCAAATAGCTTTAATTTTTAAATGAAACGAGATGATTCGGACAATGCTACTATTTATGCGGACAATGTGCTATTTTTATATATACAATACATAAAAAGAGTTTGACTTTATACAGAAAAGCGTCTTAATAATGCACATTACAATAGTACAACTATCACAAATAACCACACAAGGAAAGGAAATACATAAAAGGAACGAATATCCTCAGAACAACAACAATCAGTTCAACGCGCTGCTTATATATTGAGAGGAAAATATGCTCTTTTTGTCAATTTTAAAATTTGAAATCAAGCTTCCACTTTCGAAACATTTGAATTTTTTCTTAATGTTTAATACTCCACAAGGCACACTAATGGACCCACAGGGGCGTCGCATATGCACAGTATATTTAAATGAGAAATATATAGCAGGAAGGGGAGTTGGACAAAGGAGAAATGCCCTTTGTTATCAGTATTCCGTGATTTATCTATCCCGATAAAACTATTTTCCCTAGATAATCCAAATGCTGTTTTTATATATATTTTTTACGTGCATAATTCTATTAACGTTATTTTTTGTTTATTGGTTTAATGAATTTTAGGTAGGTTGATGAAAAATTACATTTAACAAGAACAAAGAACATTTTTTCTCCTCACATTTTGTTATTTATCCAATTATTTGTACAATAAATTCACTCCCGTTCACAAAATAAAAGATGAACCATTCATTCATCACCTTTTGCAAAAGGGTTTACAAATGAAACGTTTGAGAGAAAAAAGTAGGTAAAGGTTTCATGTAAAGTTTGTGACATTATAAGACAGAAATTCTGTTACATTTTTACAAGTTGAACATTACGTTATCAACCTGAATTAAAAGTGGGATATTTCAAACACTGACAACACCATTTATTTATTTTTTGCAATGTATTTCAATCGCTCATGCATTTCGGGCCACGACCATGGGCCAAGTAAATAACCAACACTCTTGATTTAAAATATTGTTATTACAAAATTAAGTAAATATTATTTAAAAAAATAAAACTGGAATGAAAAACAGTTTTCAAACAAATACAAAAGCTAAACGATACACGCCAAACTTGATAACCTAGTATAAAGTAGCTTGAAGAGCACCGTAATATTAAAAAAGTTCAACTTTGATCTTGAGATTGCCGTGTTCAAATACGTGAACAAAATATTTTATAGGTTTTCTCTTAAGCTAAATCGTAAAAATTCGACAATTTTAAAATTTTTTTAACAGATTTGGTTAAATTGATCATGTAAATTGATCATTTTAAAGTAAATAAATACATTGAAGGTTTTTAGAAATTGGCGTTTCATTTTTGCTCTGCTGCAATGAAATGTGGTTTGGCAAATACTATATTTATGTATCACTATTCGCGTCTAAAAAAATCTATCAAAGATCGTCAAAATTGATTATTCCATGACATATACTCTTTGGATATTTAAACGTTCTACAGCAGGTGCCGGTGCTTTTGAAAAAAAAAACGCAAGTATGTCGGGTTCGAATGCGGGGCCGCTGGATTCGAACCCGGTACCTTTACCTTACTGTGATGAGCGCCGTGTCAACGCCTAACCGTTGCGGCCACCGACGCCCCCTTTCGTCTTTTATTGTATGAAGTATTATTTATTTTATGTATGTTTATTTAAATGTTAGTTGACGATCATCCAATAAAGAGTTTTATTTATTAATTTTTGTAAAAACTCTTAAGGTTGTCTGTTTTGTAAATCAAATGCTAAAATCTTAAGGTTAAGATTAACGTTAAATGGCGGCGGGCTCTTTACCTTGCGCACCGTGACTAATATTCGTCTATTGTGCAGTTTCCAGCATTGTCTAGACCCTTCGTTGAATTTACAGTTTTTTTAAAGATACACTTGTTTGAATGTCGGCCTGCGTATGTATTAATAGAGGATGTTCCTTTGTTTCTTTTTCTTCCTGTAATTATCTGCTCAGGCTTGTTTCTGGTGCACCATGTTGCATGCATATGCCTCCGGAGTCTGCAGAATGATTCAGCAGTCCGATTATCATTCTAGTCCCATCATGTCCTGGGTTTTGTGGTTCTGCTATTGGACTCTGCGATGGTTTTTTAAGGACCTTTATCCCATTGACCCCCTTCCCACTGAACCAAAAACTTATCTTAACCCTTGCTAAAACCTTCCTTTTCTGTAAATTTTAGATAAGCATAAAGCTACTACACGACGCATAAAAGTGACGAAAAATGAACATAATTGAAAACTTAAAAATACACAAACATATCATATTGTTATATTGAAATTAACAGGCTTACATGAAACTGGTAAACGACGTACAAAAAGGACGAAAAAAGACCAGGGAATGAAAGTCTGTTGAACCTTGAAGTTACTGGTTCTGTTTACACTCGTGGGTTTCAACTCAAACGCGTTCCAGCTTTGCGCCATCTTCAGTGAAGAACTCAGTTCACGAAACTTAGCATGTGTTTCCGACTCACAGACCAACAGGCAATATCAACATCAATCATGCAAAAGTTAAAAACTCATAAACACATAAATTAACAACAATTTACATATAACAATTACACTATTCAAATCTCAACAATTTAAAAAAAAAGACCGACGGACGAAATCCGACCGGAACAATAAAAAAATATAATGTATCCACCAAAAGCATGGATAAATAAATATAACAGCCAACACATATATTCCACCCCTCACTACCTAATAAAACAGACTTGACAGAAATAACACAGCCATGACACTGAAGATGGTAAAATGTGGACACGCGTCTGACACCAGCGTAGTGAGGATTAGCAGACAAGGATGGATGATCGGCAACGACCGAAATACTATTTTTTTCTAGCATTTTCTTTTAAATTATCAATATTTTTTAACATTATTAATAATAATATAAAAATTTTCAATAAAAACTATAAACAATTAAATACATGGAACAATTAATTTACAAATTTTACAAATAAATAGATTGTGGTTAATAGGTTACATGTATTTAATTGTTTATAGTTTTTAATGTAAATTTAAATTATTAGGAAAAATCTTCAAAATCTCAAAATATACAAAATAATATTCAAAGTTTAATTAAAAAATGCCAGAAAACCCTTAAAAAATAATATAAAATAATAATTTAAACTAGCATAAACCAAAAACAAGTTTATTAATGAAAGAATGGTCAACATCAGAATGTTAAAAAACTAATAAGTACAGGTCAAAAACCCAATACTTTTTCACTTTGGTAACGAAGTGAATCAAATTAACCAATAATAAAAATATAATTATAAATAATTTATATATTCGAATTTAGTTTACAAATTCCTTGTTCTAGTTTTTTGATACCTTTCAAAACAAGTGTAACTATTTGAAAGGTTGTCAAACAATGAAGGCGGAAGAATATTGATGTGTTCAACTTGATTTGTATTCATGACAACAAAAGTTCCCAGACACGAGTAGGGAAAGAAGAGAGAGACATTTTTTTAACTTTCTAAGTTTGTGTAATGTCAGTGCTTCAATACAAGAAATAGAAACGTTGAAAATTGAAAAGTTTATATAAATTAAGAATTTATTAACATGATTCCTTTTTTTTTTGTTCGCAGGCAGTGGTCACTTATTCATCAACGTACGTTTTAGTGGCACTGAGTATAGATCGTTATTATGCCATTAAATATCCAATGAACTTCTCTGGTTCCTGTAAGTATTTGGTGTTTTTTTTATATATATATATAATGTTGTTACCCATTACGGCAGTACAGCCCTCTTTGTTTTAAAAGTTGGAAACGTGTTCTTTGATTCAGTTTTTTTTAAATATATAATACGTTGTTTCCTCCTGGGTGATCATAATTAATATCATACGCTGGCTGTGGTAAAAACCCAAGCAGTTAAACACAGACACAGTTGGAAGGGGGCTGTTATAGCAAATTACAATGTCGCAATTCAGAAAAAGTCTGGTGTTCTTTCTTCCAACTAAACGATAACCACAATGGACAAATAAAATCTAGGTACCATACGTGACTAGTAAAAATTGATAAAGCACTATATAATCGATCAAATATATTAAATATAGTAGGTTAATTAACAACAAAATCATAAAGAAAAGCATATCTTGGAATTGCTTTACTAATTCCATCCAAGCTTTTACTTTCTTAACAAAATATATAATGTAAGCATTATATTTTCACATTCAATATGTCGCATTCTTCTCCTTCTCTCACTCTCTCTCTCTCTCTCTCTCTCTCTCTCTCTCTCTCTCTCTCTCTCTCTTTTCACTACTCGCTTTTCGTTTTCCCTTTCTCTATTCCTCCTAGCTTGTCTATTCCCTCGTCTTTCTTCTCTCTTCTCTTTACCCCTTTTTCTGTTTTTTCTTAATTTCCTTTTTCATTCTTTTCTTACTTTTATCTTCCCTGTCCTCTTGCACTCCCGCTTTTCCTTTTTCTCTTTCTTTGCTTCTCCTTATTTATGCTTTTGCATTGTTGTGAATCAAGCAAGAGGAAGTGTTCAGCTATTTAAATTTAAAAACCCTAAAAAATATCTGTTAGTGCCGATGTTTTACACATATGTAAATAAAATAAAATGCTAAACCTGACGTAAATTTTCGTTTTGTCAATTATAAGTCACGGCTTTTTTAAATTACACAAATTACATAGCAATGTCAATTTTTTCAAAAAGGAAAGCATGCTGTGAAAAGTTGACAGGATAGTGCAAACTTGAAAATGTTTTGATTAAGGCGAATTAATTTTGATTAAACTATTAAACCTAAACTGAACATTGGATTTGTCCTATTTAAATATCTACAAGTACAAGGATTAATAAAGCATTAAGAAAATCAACAAGAATATAATAATATAGAATAAGAATAATAAGAATTCAGTTCATTTCTGCGTCGACAATTATCTGGCCATAGAAGGGTTTCTGGAGGCAATCGGGTACCTTGAATCAACACACCGGGAGCCGAATTTTGCTCACATAAACATGCCTGGGTTGAAATTATTTTGCACTTGTGTAGATAAGTTTCCATCTTGCTGTGTCCATTTAGGATCTGGGTTAGTTAGAAACAGCTGTGAAAAGGTCCAGACGAATCAGTCAGCTTTAAAGGCATGTTCCAATGTTTCATCCAATGAATTTAACTTTTGTTCCACCTAAGCTTTTTTATTGGAACGTATTTGGGAAAAATCCCGAAACATGTTAACTTATGTTTGTTGTCTCTATTTTGGTCCAGAAATCCAAATATAAATGAATCGATGTTTAACAGACAAAACGTAAATAAAATTAACTTGTTGACGATTGAAGCTTTTGAATAATCCCAAAAAAGATTGAAATGTTTTAATAGATAGTTAACACTTATCTTATAAGTCATCACATTAAAGATTACGTTTTACGTCTTCGACTTATCGTTACAATGTCAAAAATGTACAAGAAAAAGTCGAGATGATTTTTTTGTTAGAGAAAGTGAACCGACATCAGGCTGAATCGCGCTTTAAGCCGGGAACACACTAACTCGATGCAGCTATGCGATGCTACCCGGCGCAAATCCAAAGTCCAATTTTCCATAAGATTGTATTACCCCCGTGCACATCTACCCGACGCTCTGCGATCCCCACTGTCCAGATTTTCGTCATTTGTAGGTCAGATACGAAAGATAATGGCGGCCTTCATTCACTTTCGCCAATAAGAATATGTACGACAATAAACAGAAAAATAGGGAACGTAGTAAACTTAAAAAAGTTCGTGACGGTTTAAGTTATGTGGAAGCATTTAATGAGGAACAAGGTAGTAGGATAATGCAAATCTGCATCAAAAAGTTTGGAGGTAGTGACGTGCGATACCAATCGATATGAGTAAAGTATCGAGTATTTTCTTTCGATACCGAGTAATTTTGGTATCGAATATAGTCATTCGACACAAGTACTGTATCGAATACTTTTTGTACTATCGGAACATATAATCAAATACATTTTTCGTCGAGTGGTCAAGTAATATTGAATTGTTATTTACCGTTCGAAACTTACCTTTTTCATCAAACAGGAAATTGACTAGTTACTGTTAAGAGCACCTACTAGCGGCATGTGTCAACAAAGTTAACCGATATTTTTAATTGGTGGTTGGTAACTCTGCTGATAATTTCGGTAATTCTTAATTCTTTTCCGCGTCACAACTCGCACTTTCAATTTCAGTAATTTCTTATAAAATGTTTTTGTCTTCAAGTCCCTAAAATGTGTTGGCCTTCCTTCTCGTAGGATACCTAATTATGTCTCCTCCCAAAAGTAAGGCCAGAAACACACTTACCCGATGCTACCCGACGCAAATCCAAACTCCGATTTTCCATAAGGTTGCATTACCCCCGTGCACATCTACCCGATGCTATGCCACGCTAACCTACCCGACGCTCTGCGATCCCCACTGTCCAGATTTTCGTCGGGTAGCATGGAGTACAGTCGAAGAACCGGACACTCATATTTTTATTCAAACTACATGTATTATTGTCGTTATATTAATTACAACATACTTATTTTAATATAAATCAAATTAACCGAGATCAAAAATTAATTAGTTTTTTTTAATTAGGTTTGGTAGAAAATAGATCAAAATACCAGAATACCATTTTTTGATATAATGAATTTAAATAATGTACCAATTTATTACAAGGTTTTGCTCATAAAATTTAACTAACAATTTATTTCATGGTTTTGCTCATCAAATTAAACTGTTTTCGTCGAGTAGCCTCAGAACAGGACACTCATATTTTTTTGAAGTTTATTTCAAACTAAGTATATGTAATTTTGTCGTTATTTTAATTACAACATTCCTATTTAAATGTAAACCAAATTAAAGGAGATCAAAAATTCATAAGGTTTTATAAAAATTATTTAATTATGTGTGGTGATTAGTGACTGTTAATCGATAATTATTCAGAAATCGTGAGATGCGTTTCATAAAAACATTTTCTTTATCATGCCAACGATTCGATCTTTATTGAGATCATCATCAGGGCCTGGGATTTACAAACATAAATAAAAACACATTTCTCTCGTCCGATAACTTCAAAATAGCTTTCAAAAATTATAAAACAATCCGAACCCTTTTTTCCAAAATTAAAGATCCCACACCAATAACAAATAAATCTGACGTAATCTACAAGATCAACTGTTTAAACTGTTCGGCAACTTACTTCGGTCTTACATCTCAATATCTGGACAAGAGAGTAAAGCAACATACCTACGATTGCAAAAAACCCAAGCAAAATCCTACAGCACTCGCTACCCACCATTTTGAACACCAACACAATTTCTACTTCAAAAATCCAAAAATATTACATACAGAACAAAACAAACATAAACGTAATTTCTTAGAAATGTTTCGACTTCAAAAATCCAAAAATATTACATACAGAACAAAACAAACATAAATGTAATTTCTTAGAAATGGTTTATATCAACAGAGATAAACACAGCATCAATTACAGAAAAGATACATGTAAACTCAGTAGCAGCTACGCCAATATCATTAATCAAATTCAATATAGATAACATACATATATCATCACATTACATTCCATACACATATTTTTCATAGTCTAATTGTCCAACTGAGCTTTCCTTTTCCTATTTATCCCTTTCTATATAATCCATTACCAACACATTGTTTCCCTTCGTCGGCTCTTTTCCCGTCAAAGATGCCGACGCCTTATACAAAAATGTCTTTTCTATACCGACTTCCTTCCCCACCCCTTCAAAATCCAACGTATATAAACATAAAACAGCAAAATCTCACTGGCACTCTCAACACGACACGCAAGAAGACAAACACTTAGTGTGAGTAGAAATACTTTGATTGAAAATAAAAAATATATTTTGCATTGTATAAATTCACTTTTCCACATCCTAAATGTATTTGTTAAATGTAGAAAATGTTTGTAAATCCCAGGCCCTGAAGATGATCTCAATAAAGATCGAAACGTTGGCACGATAAAGAAAATGTTTTTCTGAAACCTACATCACACCAGACCGCATCTCACGATTTCTGAATAATTATTTAATTATGATGCTTAGGAAGAAAATTTATCAAAACACCGGAATAGCATTATTTAAAACAATTAAGTTTAACAAACAATTTATTACATAGTTGTGCTCGTAAAATATAACTAACAATTTATTACATGGTTTTGCTCAAAATAATGCATTAAGAACAAAAGAGACGTTGCGATTGAGATACTGATTTTTTTGTCGCACTCTGTGTGACTACGTGGCGTGCGCTTGATGTCGCATAGATGTGCACACCCTACCAAAACGTTGCAAGTGTGTTCCCAGCATTAATGAGCTACATCCAGGGCGTCCTGATAATCGATGATATTAGGGAAAATTGTTACGAAATTTTTTTGGTACATAACGAATTAATTTACTATAAATTTAAATGATATATAAATTGGTTCTTGGTTAGAGAAGTTGGAGACTATTTCGTTTACGGCAAAATATTGTACAGACAACTATTTGCGAATAACTTGATAACGTTTGCTCTTATTTAAAAACCGTTTGCACATTGAATTCAGAGTGGTAAAGCCTTGCATATGCACATTTATGCTAGGACCTTGCTGTTTAAAATAGTTAAGTAATTACAATTAATTAAGGTTATTAGTTGAGATGAAAAAAGTCAATGGCACGAGCGGGATTCGAACCCACGATCTTCGGCTAGATACG